AGAAGTTGCCAAAGGGAAAACTGAAAGAGACCTGGAGGTGTTTGTTGGCTTGTCGGTTGCTATGGCAACATACTTTGAGGTCTGTAGCAAACAAGCTGCACGGATTTGTCAAATCAGTTATTTTTAGGTCCCCAGAGATCATGCTCAGCCTTTACAGTTTCTTGATTATTGTTCGGATAACACTGCACCTGTGTACAATTCTAGTCATTGCAACATTGAGAGCCTGTCCAGGCCTTAGACACAGTGCAGAGGAGAGCAACGACAAAAATCCCCAGTGTTAAAGGGATGAGCTATAATGAACAACTGGATCAGCGAACAATTAGATCAGCGAAGGCTTTTAGAATCTGAGAAATTTATAGCACAGAAGAAAGCCATTTGGTCCAATTTTTTGGTTCTGGCTCTTATAATGAGCTGTTCTTTCAGTTTGGTTTACCCACCTTTTCCCAATAACTCCGCAAATTACTGCTTCAGTTATTATTACTACAATTATTATCTTCAGCCTTGAAAAGAGATACCTTGGAGAGGACCAGGTTTATAAGATTTTAAATGGGATAGAGACAGTAAACAGAATAATATTATCAGATACACCGACACAGCAGGACAAGATGGCTTGGGTTCAAAGTTTTGAAGGATAAGGTTAGGAGAGACAGCAGGAAACCTTTCTTTACATGAAGGGTAGTTAATAGCTGGAACGCGTTACTAGGAAGAGTGGTAGAGGCCAGGATTAAAGAAACAGCTTAATGCTGCAATGGAAAATTGAGTGTTTGGCATTCTGGAAGGATGAGATGAAATGGGCCAAAGGGCCTACTTCCTCTAAATATCTCTTGTGATCGTGTGAAAATTTGTTACCCAGCGAGTTCTGCTGTTTTGTCAAAGGGTGAATGGGAGGAATTTCCGAGCTCGATCATTTTGAGTGAGCTGAAATAATAAATATTAAATCAATCCTCGTCCCTTGTTAGAATTAGTAACTCCATTTTTTCCCTTCAAATAAGTTTAATTTGGCCTGTGGAAATGTTTCAAAAAATGCTTTTTGGTTTCAGGCCCGGTCCGGCTGGGTTCAACTTCCAGATACATAGCGTAAGCCGGGGGAGGGGGTTACTGTAATATATAATCCTTGCATTTGATTTAGAGCCTTTTTACATCAGTGAGACATCTCAAAGCACTTCACAGGAATTACTGTGAAGTGTAGTGACTATATATTTGTAGGCAAACCAACAGTTAATTTGCACATTGCAACGTCCCATGAATAGCCAATTTCATCTGGGACAATGGCAGGTCAGGACACCAGGAGAAACTTCCTTCCTTTTTGGATATTGGTATGGGATCTTTAACTTTTACCTGAGCAGGCAGATGGTACCTTGATTTAATACAATGCTCCCCCAGCAATGGAGGGTCAGTCTAGACTGTGACTTCCAGATATGGGACCTTCTGCCTTAAAGGTGAGACTTCTACGAAACCGAGTCAGGTTGATTCCTTAAGAAGAAAATTGGAAGTACATCAGATTGACCCAAGGGAACACCTCTTTGAATTTGCTCACAATGGAGCAGAGTTCTTGTGACGTTCTTCCTGTTAATGTAAAGAGCCTCCCATACGGTTTCCTGGATAAGGAACCCCATTGGAAATCGTCGCCTATTAGACCCCCTTAATAGTATGTTAATAATCAGACTTTGAAAAAAAGAAAACAGCTAGATAAATATTTATTTAGGAATGAGGAATAAAGTTTGGGAAGACTCAAAGATTGAATACTCAGTGGAATAGCATATTTCCAGTCCTGCTGGGATTATAGAAATGTCATCTGTGGAATGCAAGACGTCAGGTTTGAATCATGAAGGTTGTAATGCTCGACTGATATCCTGGAGTTTTGCTTTATTACCTTTGGGGTGATCAGGGAGAGATTTCACAGAGATTTATATTCGTGTAAGTTTTACCTGTGGTGCTTTACCTCCCTCAGGAGATTAGATAAATATGTGTAGATCTCATGATAGGATAAATTGTACATCCTTCAATTTAATGGGCTGAATTGTATTTTCACGTTTCTTATTTCCTTTTGTACTTAGTGGAGTCTACTCTGTGGTGTTTCTGGAGTGATTCCTTAATAAGAAGAATTCCTTAATAAGGAATCAGAATAAGGACTCCTTTTGATAACCAGCAGTATGTTACTCACAGGATTTCCGCCCCGAAAGGGGATGGTTGCAAAGTCTTATCTGAACAAAATCGTAAATCAAGTCCACAGAAGGTGTGAATTTCATTCTTCTTCACCAGATATTACCCTAAGAATAGTTATACAAATAAAATATTTAGGCCAAAAAGTGGCTAAAGATCAACAAAGTAATTTGCGCTTTTTTTAAAACGGTTCTGATACATTGCTAAAAGGCACTGAGATATTAAATAGCTGAAAGGTACAAGTTGTGGTTGAAATCAGATGTCAGGAGAAACCATTCTCCAGATTCCAGAGAGGGGTTTATTGCCACAGGAATACAACAACAGCAACTTGCCTGTTCAGGTGGACATTAAAGATACCATGGCACGATTCGAAAAGAAAAGGGAACTTCCCACGATATCCTGGCCAATAAATCCCCAAAATAAAATTGGTCACTCACTCTGTGGTTTTTTGTGGGGCACCGCTGTCCGCAACTGCCTATCGTGTTCGCCCACAAAATACACAGTCAATCCATTTTACTGTATATCCTGTGAAGTGCATTGAGACGTCTTGACGACGTAATAGGGTAATATATCAAATGCAAGGATTATTATTATTAAATTTGTATTGTATTTTATTGTATTTATATAACCCCCTTCGCATGGGGTAGCATACTTACCAATAGCTTGAAATTTGCATAATAATTCCATAGTTTTGGCATTGCATGTGAAGATAAAAACATTCTATAGTGTTCCAATATACTACGAAAGATAGTCAATTTAAAATTTCACCCCGTAGCCAATGGATCGCAATCAAGCAAATTATTTATTCCAACCTTTTCTATTGCCTGGTATTTGATGTAACAATTCAATATTTTGTCAAATATAAACATAACATCTTTTGTTGTTGCAAATTGATTTTTAAAACAAAAGGCTTTAAAGGATTTCGAAAGGCTCATTTTTGTTTCTGGAGACATCTCGACGACATGATAAGGTGCTATATCAAAAGCAAGTAATATTATTATTAAATTTGTATTTTATTTTATTGTATTTACATAACGTTTAGCATTGTTTGCAGCAGTATTGTAGTTCTGTAGTGTAGTAGTTGGGAGTATTCGCCTCGCAAGCAAGAGGACCTGGGTTTGATTCCCTGCAGGCTGAAACCTTAGGCAAGTTTCCTTATTCCACACACCTCTGTTTACCAAGCAGTAAGTTGGAACCCGGTTGTTAGTCGATTGGCAGATTGCTTTCTGGGGGTAATAATTCCTCCTAAAATAATAATAAATCCGTCACTCAATCCATGACTGTTTGTGGGATACTGCTGTGCGCAATTGGCTACTATGTTTCGCCCAAAAAAAACATACAGTCAATTCACTTTACAGTATATTCTGTGAAGTGCATTGAGACATCTCAATGATGTGATAAGGCGCTATATCAAATGCAAGGATTATTATCATTATAATCTGTAATGCACATTGAAACGTCTCAATGATGTGATAATGCCCTATATCAAAATCAAGGATTACTATATTATATTGTTAATAGCAGTGTGATCCAGAGCTAGAAAATGGGTTTGCATTTCCTGTTCCAACGTTGTTCTTGCCCTGGGTATCTGTGGTCACTTCCCTCCATCCCTGCTACTATAAAGTGCCTTGAGATGTGAATCTGAATGAAGGGAGCTATATAAATGCAAGTTGTTGTTGCAGTACAAACCTGCTATGTTGTGTTGTTGCCAAAGGATCAATTTGATTCAGGAGCTGCGCCCTGAAATGGAACTAATGCATTTTAAACCTAATTTACACTGCATTTTGAGTGGTGATTCAGGGGGAGGCAGCATTAAATTGCTTATAACCATGAAGTAAGTATAAATAGGGCATAAGCAATGATTCTAGCAAAATGCATCGGTCAATGGCATTCTCATAAAGGCCTTCCTCTCGCACTGAGTGAGATTGCCACTGAAGGCTCAGTGAAGTGGTTTGCACTCACAGCCTAATGACTCACAGATAATAGAAATGAAAAGGATTTATGGAGTTTCTCATTTTAACATAAAATGGTCACATGAGAACACACAGACAAGCCTGCAATGAGCTTTGAAATTCACCCTTACCAGAAGGCATGTTTCAGTCAGTGCCGTACATTGTGTACATCAAGGGTGAAAGCATTCTTAATATATAGATATAGCAGCTTTTATATAGAATTTTAGATTCAAGCATTCAAGATTGAAAAGCAGATAGAGAGGGAATATGGAAAAATAAAGGGAGGAGGTTCCAGAGGTTAGCTGAAGGCTTGGCAACAACAACAACATATTACATTTGTATAGCGTCTTTCACGTCAGGAGGACGTCCCAAGGCGATACTCATGTAGAGTAGGTGCACCAGACCTGAGTTAATCGAGGGCGGGTATAGGGATAGAAATGAGGGAGAGTGAGAGGCAGAGTGGGATAGGATCAGGCCAGAGAGACAGGGTGATGCAACAGTGTGAAGGATGATGACCTTGAAGCTGATCGAATGAGAACCGGGGAGCCAGTGGAGCTTGATGGGGAATGGGGTCACGGGCAGATGGAGTTTGGTGTGAGAGGTTTGAAAGAGATTTGAGGGCGACAGAGGTTTGAAAGAGTTGGAGCTTATGGATGGTGGAATTAGGGAGAGTGGGGAAGAGTGCAAATACTTATGTAATGAGAGTGATGACAGGGCAATTGTGATGACAGTCTCCTTAAGTTTCATTGCGTCTTCTACATCACATGTAACATGTTTTTCTTGTGAATCAAAAGTGCAAAGATCACATGCAACAATTTGATTACACCTGCCCACTGATGAAAGACTGATGAAAAAGACACAACACATCAACCATTGCGCAGTAGCCTAGTTATCAATAAATCATTTATTCACAGATTTGGCTTGTTTGTTTATTGTAGTATGCACCACATTTAGTCAGATGATGACTACTGTAAAGCATGACATTTCACATGAGTTAACTTCCACTCTTTTCTATAAAACAGTCTGTAGCAAAGATCTTGTGTTGACTGCATGTGTTGGTAATCAGATACCTACCCACTACTAAGAAGTAAAAGATGATTTCAAAATTGTAAAAGTTTAGCCATGTGAAATTTTCTCATCTTCAAAGATGTTTTACACAGTTGATACAAGTACTCTAACATAAATTGTATTACTTCTCTAATGAACTACATATCAAACTGTGGAGCTTTACTTTAGAGTTTTGTCACATCGTACAATACTGCTGTTCAGTGGTTCTTGGTGGTACACACAGATACAATCCTAGTCACCTATCTCACCTTTCTATGCTCCGAAATAAGTACTGTTCAAGCAGAGTTTTATCACACTGGATTTTGGAATACTCAAGTTTTTCTTACCATGGATTTACTATATAATTGTTCCTTGTGTTTTTTCTTAACTGTCACAGCTTAATTATAAAACATTAGAATGAAAGATTAATTTTGCTTAAGGAAAATGCAATGAACACTGACATTTTATAGAATTCAGGATTCGTGAACTGACAAATATTTCTCCTGTTGAATACTCTAAGAGCAACAGAAGCACCATAACAAACAAACCAATGTTGTTTCTCAGATGGTCAGAGACAGAACATGTCCTACGTGCTGCGTGGTGGAAGGAAAGTACAGCACCTATACGGTTAAGTATACAGAACAATGGTTGAATTGCAAAGCATCTGGATTCACCTACACTGTCACATGCCTTGTGCTTTTCCATTAAACCATGCTAGAATCAATACTGTTCATATATCAGTGCAACATTGTCCTAGCTTTACTAACTAAACATTCATTATTTCTTAAGAAATGGTTTATAAAATTGCACTAAGCAATTACAGCTGGTTAACAAGAACAGGGCTTATTAAAAGGGAGAATTTGGTGAGCGAACAGTCTCAGACGAGCTTGGTGAGTAATCTTCAGACTCCGAGTTGTGTTCTGGCACATTGGTTTGTACCACGTAACTTCTCCTTACATCCTGGTTGCATCTTCTTCGGAAAACCTGCCTCTCCTTATCAAGAGCGGTGGTCTGCCAGGGCCATAAAATACAAAATGAAAAAATCAGGTTTTGGACAACTGTAGGAGTCACACAATGTACTACATACAGTACACAACCATTGTAATCTCAGCATGGACAATCAATTGACATTTCAGATATACATTTTGTCAATAAACATTTCATAAATTCTTATGGTGCCGTAATTTTAAAAACAAAACATCGGCTGACAATGGGCATGGTTTAACCTTGGCCAACAATCCTTGCTCAATCGCCTCACGGCTGTTTTTGGGCGTTGCATTGCAAGTTCGTCTACAAAATACACAGTCACTACACTTTACAGTAACATCCTGTGAATTGCTTCTAAGATGTTTCTATGTGTGATAAGCGCCAAATTAAATGGAAGGATTATCATTTTATTGTAACCCTTTGTGGACTCTTGTTAAACTTTTCCTTTTGTGTGACATAGAGTAAATAATTTCCTTCCTGTAGGGTAGCTGGCATGGTGGATGATAGTGTCCTATTTTCTGAGTCAAGATAAGGAACATTAGTGAGACAACATAGAGGAAACTTTGCATCTGGTCCACATAATGAAGGTGCCTGATCTAAAAATGTTAAGCTTTAACTGTGGATGTAAAATGCAGCAAAACCAACCAATCTCCACCATTAACATTACCTTGAGGAGCATGAAACCCTCATTTAGATTAGAACACATAAAAATAATTGTTACTGACTTTTGATTATGTCTACATGTTGCAGGTACTCATCAAAATGAGAACTCATAATAATTTGCTCCCCCTGAAGTGGTTCACTCAAGAAAGAATAAATTTAACTGACCCTCAACATACGTCTCTTAATATCCTGTAATGCAGTCTCTGTTATAAGCCTAAAGGATCTTAGCTGAGGGCTTTTTCATGTCATGGGACATTCAATGCAGTATTTGCCTTTATATAATATGCAAAATGCTTGCCTCCCAGGGTCTATGTTATAATGAGGGTGGAGACACCGTTAAACCCTTAACTTATTAAGTAGTTCATAAATCATTCAGATTTACAATAGCAGCTGTGACACGTGGCAGAAACACACATACAAACATAATTAAACTTCTCCAAAAGAGCTGATGCTAAGCGCGCACGTCTGAAATCAGGCCTCTTTCTCTGAGCATTTGAAGAAGAAACTTGCAATAGTGCTCTATCGCATGGGCACAACGACATTTTACATTTTTATACGACTTTCACTTCAGAGGATATCTCAAAGCATTTTACACAACTGATGAAGAACCTGATCTCAGGGTGGGGTGGGGTGGGTTGGGGGAGGAGGTCAGGGTGATGGGGACAGGTGTCCAAAAGCACGATCGGAGGCAGGTGTTGAAGCGGGTTTCTAAGAGAAATAGGCGGCAAGGCAAACGGACTCCGAGATAGAGTTCCAGACTGGGGGCAGAATGGTGGAAAGTCTCCCTCTGATTTTGGGGTGAAGTGAATGTGGATTGTGAAGCCCACCCGCGTTTGCTGAGCAGAGGGAGTGGCTGGGACCGTACGGTTGTGGGAGGTTGGCAGAGGTAGAGTGGGGCAAGGTCATGCAGGCTTTTGAACTGTCAAAGGATTCAGAGTTAAATAATGTCTAAATGCAGTAACTATTTTGTGTGGCAAGTGTATCAGTAAATGATCAGCCAAATGCCGATCGAGACATTACATGATAAAGCACAAAGTATTTGTTAATCAGTACAGTGAGTGCGTTCATATGAATTCCCTTTCACCGTTAATAAATTTACAACACCTTGCACTTGCATAGCACCCTTCATATAGGATGTTTCAGAGAGTTGCACAAAGACGGGGGGGTCAGACATTGCTCTATCAGCAAGATAGAGGGGCAACGGGAAGATTATTATAGGCGTTGGGACATCCTCCCGACATGAAAGGTGCTGTACAAATGTAATTTGTTGTTGTTGGTCGAAGATGTAGGTTTTAAGGTGGGATTTAAAGACAGTTGGGAGGGGAGAGATAGACTAAACCAGAATGATCCAATTGTCCTGATTTGACTGTCCAGGAAATTCCTTTCAAAAGCAAAATTGGAAAAAAACACCAAAGGTATTATTAATAACAAAAAATGCTCTCTTTACAAGCAGCAAAACATTTTCCAAAAGACAAAGAAAACAGTGCATTTCTTATACTTATTTGCTCGGCATTCAAATCTTTATGCTGCCCCCAGCTGGTTAACTTTTTACATTACAATTTCAACACAATAATAATAATCCTTACATTTGATATTGTGCTTTATCACGTCGAAACATCTCAAAGCAGTTCACAGGATTTTTCTATTAAGTGCATTGACTGTGTATTTGCAGCCAATTTGCACACAGAAAATCCCACAAACAGCTTTGAAGCGAATGACCAATTTTATCTGGAGGCCAGGATACTGGGAGAAATTCCCTTCTCCTTTTGAATATTACCATGCGATTTTAACATACAAGATACAGATTTGGTTCAAAGTCTCATCTGACATTGCACCTCTCCCTCAAGATGTCAGCATGGAGTGTCAGCCAAGACTATGAGCTCAAAGTTCCAACATGGGGCATGAATCCATAACCTCCAGACTTAGAAGAGAGAGTGCTACAACTGAACCAGGTTGAAACCAATCACTCCTACATTTTTTTTACTTCTACAAATCAGATTGATTGCTCAGTTGGCTCCCAAGTTACAAATGTAACTAAACAGAAATTTTCAGAAGAATCCTATTAGCATTGCATTTACTAAACCTGGAGGGTCAGGCTAAATGCATTACTTTAGAAATATTTTGTCATTTAATTTAATCTTAGTTGTCAAAGGAAATTATTGTATGATGCCATGGAGCAGCTGAGATATTGCTGCAGTGGTAAGTAACAATATTCTTATTTCTATACCTTAGGAATCAAATAAAAGTTAAAACCACCGATTTGTTGAGTAGATCAAAACAATCCTCACATTTGGTATAATGCCTTTCACTTCGGAAGGACGCCCCAAAGAGCTTTACAGAATAATAATAATCCTTGAATTTCATATAGCGTCTTTATCATACAGTGTCCTTATGACGTCTTTGAGTGCAGTGACTGTGTGTTTTGTGGGCGAACACCCACAGATCAGGAACTTTTCTGAAAAAACACGTCCTTGTCATTTTTATGTTTTTGATATTTAATCGAGGTGGGGAAGGGCTGTTGAAGTTCTTGGCCATTCAAGGTTAAGGGGCCATTTCTGAGTGGAGGCTGAGTTGATTTGCATCTTCTACATTTATACCAGTCGGTATCAGCCTAGCTCAATCGGTAGCATTCTCGCCTTTGAGTCAGACGACTGTGGGTTCAAGTGACACTTTAGGACATTGAACTCATTGTCTCGGCTGCCATCCCAGTGCACTGCTAGGTGTGAGCTGCATTGTTGGAGCTGCTGTCATTCGGGTGAGATATTCAACAAAGGTCCTGTCTGCCTATTTAGGTGGACATTCCTGTGGCACTACTCGAAAAACAAAGGGACTTTCTGCTGGTGTCCTGACCAACAATCCCCCAAACAACAATCCCCCAAAAATGAATAAATAATTCATTTCATAGCTGTTTGTGGGACAATATTGTGTACAAATTGGTTGCAGTATTTGCCTACAAAATACAATCATTCCACTTTTCACGTCTAGAAGATGTGAAAAGCACTATATCAAATGCAAGATTATTATTATTAATCATGTGAAGCCCTTTGAGATGTCCTCCTGATGTGAAAGGTGCTATAACAAATGCATAATTATAATTATTTATTATTATTATGGCATCCTTCTGAAACTGCTTTTGCATGGTGGACTTCAAAGCTGAGCTCCATAATAACAGATTCTACATGGCACAGCTCACTTTGAATTCATATTGGGTTTTCCGCAGTGATTTGGTGCCGTATACAAACTGGTCAACTCTCACAAATACAACACTCCAAGTACCCTCTTTCCTATTCTCTTGCCACAGCTAGAAATAGAGGACGAAACATGTTGAAAGGACTTGCATTTTTACAGCTCCTTAAGAAGATGAAAACTTCCAAAACAAGTAATTAAGATCAAGTGATCATGTGGTCAATTTATTCAAATTGTGGGTGGATTTGCTGGTAAAGCCCCACTCACTACTGGATTACAACTAGCCACATTCATGTCCTTGCAGCCAACAGACAGAAGCCTTTTAGTGCATCCGTCCAGCCCTATTCCAGTCAAGTCCCAAAGATATTGTGTTTTCCCACTGCCCGATCCAGGCTGCTAGTTCACCATCAACCTCAAGTTTAACCCTTATTCAGAACAAATGGTGGAAAAGTCATCGGAGAGAGGACGTAAGGAATTTTTACACTATTAAAGAAAATGAACAGTTTTTGAGCTCTAAAAACTCCCCGCCGATAGACTCAAACATAAATTCCAACTGTAGCACAAAATCCCACTACGTTACTCTTGACCCCAAATGTCACCAATCTTAAATTGTGTAATCTGGGGAGAGAAATTGGAGAGCATGTTGGTCTCTTGCTGGACTGTCCAAGGAACAAGATGAACTCATACAGATGTCCTTTAAGCACTCTGAGACGCTACTGCACTTGAAGGGCGCTATATAAATGCAAGTTGTTGCCCTTAGGCTGTCCTAACCCAATACAAACACTTTATGGGAACTCATTTTGCAGAGGAAAAATATGGTGAGAGGAAGAGATTATAAAGTGAATTAGAGGTGCAAGAAAGCAAGCTTCTTTAAGCAGATTGATTCCTAACAGCTTTAGCAATGGATTTTCATACATCCTAAATGACTTGAAGAACATCACTTATATAGAGGAGGGTTCCCCAATTATGATCAGACAAGGTTCATTTTCCTTTATCACCAAACTTACTGAGATGACTGAGCTAAATAACACAAGAAGATAGGATCAGGAAGAGATCATTAAGTCTATCGAGCCTGCTCCAACCCATTCTATTAGATCATGATTGATCTGAAACTTAATATCATCTCCCTGTCCTTTTGGTATCTCCCTAAAATCACCTATTTTTTGCAGCACATT